TCTGTGCTGTGAGATATCTTGTATAAAGAGACATCTGAGTCCTGAAGCTTCTTGCTGATGAGCAAGTAATTAAAGCTGCCGGGGATCACGTCAGTTCATGCGTGGAGGAAATGTGCAGAGGTGACAAAATGCTGGAGTCTGGCTCTGGCTCCAAGTTCATGTAAAACTATCCTGCAGACTCCAGACATATGAAGCACGACTGATAAGGTGGAGTTACCTGAGAATCTCGGCAGCTGCATGCACCACACATGGATCTGATGTGTCTGTGATTGGAGGGGATTGGTCCCAGAGCAGCAGCAAGCTCATAGCTCACTACGCTTTAAGTCAATCAGCAAATCAATACATGACAGCTTGAGGTTGTTCATTTTCTCACTGTGACAAGGAGTATGAAGCACTTTTCTGTCTGAGCCCTGAATGTGTCACACATGATGGGGCTGGACCTTTGAAACTTGACTTATCATCTAAAATGAAAAAATCCAGTCCGTGTTTCAGATTTTCTTGTGTTTTGGACGACTGAAATCATTCTTGACTCAACAAAACCTAAAGTCCTAATCATGTGTTGCATGCGCTACTTCTGAGCTACTGTCCTGATAATAGTGGCACATTCCAATCACATTATGGTAAAATGATACATTTTCACACCTGAAAGTCCAAACTAAGGTCTGAACTAAGGTTCGGGTCTTTGTTAATAGTCTGATGGTGAAGTGTATTAAATGATGTGTTGTGAAAATTTGGAAAACTATTGAACCGGCTACTATAATATCAGTACCACTACCAGCACGACCAACTTCAGACACAATAAACAACTAGTTCGAGTGCACCATATGAGCGTCCTTGGCGCTCATAGGTTATATCACCAGAAGAGGCTTGTAGGATTGCTTGCAATCTTCACCTCTGTTTTTCTTCTTCTATTGTTTAAAGCCATCTTTAAGTTTTACTTCAAACCATCATAGGGTTTTACATTAATACATTAAACATTGCCTTTTGGAGAATAAATATGAAATGTGAAAATAAAAATGATCTCCTTTTTATATCACACAGTAAAAATGTTCATATCATCGATTATTTTTCAAATTTTTGTTATTTAATAAGTCTTTCCTTTGAAAAATCTGTGTCTTTTATGTAAGATCTGTGCTGACTTTATCCTCCACTCTGGGTTTGCAGCCTTCCCACACTGCTGTACTCCAGAGCGTGTGTCTATCCGCAGTGGTTAGTGTTGGCACCAGTCACTGTTTATTTTATTAAAAACTACCAAGCTGACTGTTGTAATTGAGAAAAAAAGGTATCGCAAATTATTATTCCCACTTTATGCCCCGGCTCTGCTGTGCGATATTCAGAGCTACACATGTCTCACTCTGCGGCAGTGAAATCTTGTCATCATGTTTTGCTGCAGGCTGGGAACTGGGATGTTTCCCTTTTTACTGCAAGTGGCTGGTTTAGAAGCAGAAAACAAGTATGTCTCTGCACCTGTTTGTGGCTTTCTTATTTTTAATTCAAAAAGAAAGGTGCTGTTTGTTGGGACTAAACCAGCTGGGGCCTTTTTGTATCAGAAGAATAAAGTGGAGTACTTTCTGTATGATCCTGCCCAGTTGGTTGTAGCTGGTATCTAGAGCGAGCAGCTGTTTTCCCCTGAGGCAATCTAATCAACAGAAATAGACGGTGCCTGCCCTCAGCGGACCAGAGGCCTGGTGGTGCGAAGAGGTCACAGCTACTTCTTTAAGAAACTACTCTTATAAACTGGTGCACATGGTGACACATGATGTACGTGTCTGAAACGTTGGCTGATTGCCTTTCACAGACATATTGTTTGTTTGTCAATATATTCCAAACATTTTTTACAGAACAAACAATGCAAAAAATATGTGAATTAATGTTTACATTATATGTAAAAATAATCCTTTGACTTTGGATCTATATATTTGGTTATATTTTTGATTTCTGTTTAGTTATATTGTATGCTTAAACTGTAAAATATCTCATAAAAAAGCCTTAATCATGTTTCCTTGTCAGGATAAGGATTTGATAAGGACTCTTAGGAATAAGAAGCAAGTTTTTAAAAATATTATCAGCCGATCCGATCGGTATCTGGAATTATTTTGCTCTCTAACATTGTTGTTTGCAAATCCATATCGGTTGGGCTCCAATTTATTTTCATCACACTGAAGTCTTGGAATGAATAATTTCCAAAAGCAACATTTTCAGCTTCCAGCTGTGGCTTTAAATGTTTCTTGTGTTTTGCAGCAACATACTTTTGTGTGTGTGTGTGTGTGTGCAGCATTGACAAGTCCTGAGAGCTTAACTGTCCCCATTCAAACAGAGGGGATTTCATTGTTCTGAACAATGCCTTGTTCTGTATTTCCCATAGTCTGTGGGGTCTCATTATTTTGGGTTAGTGGTCGAGCATTAAACCCCATTAGTTGCATGATTTCCTTACAGTGTTGTGATGTTTATTTTGCAAACCTTAAGCTCAAAGTTATTTCACTTTAAATGAAACCTAGTAGTGTTTTTGTGTTTTTAATACAGGCATATTATTCAGCGACTGTATTGCTGCAGCTTGAGATCACTGCAAGAATGAAAATTAGTCAGTTTGGTTGCTTGGCCTAGCTTCAGTCACAGCATCAACAATTCCACAAACACTGTTCCTCCTCCACAGGAGCGCATGGAGATTCTCTTGGCAGGTCGTGGACACGTTTTTATAGTCTTTGGAGTTTCACACACGGCCCCTCCTAGGAGTTGACGCCTGACTCGTATTGATAAGGAATAGTGGAATAATCCTGTTGCAACATGCTATCTGAGTACCAAGGTCCATTGCCTATCTTAATGTTGAGGCCTTACTGTGATGTGAGCTCTAGTGCACATTCTTTTGTTGGACAATGGGTGAGGTCAGTTGGTGAAATTGGACCCATGTGGGGCTAATAGGCTGCTCCAGTCTGTGGTGAACAGACTGTGTCAAAAATAATTGTGAGGAATGGAAAGTCTGTTTCATTAGCTGTCCTCAAAACACATTTTCTGCTTGTTTGCAGTTGGAGAACCTGAGAATTGGAGTCATAAAAGAAACATGTCATTAGTGCTGGTTATTTTTTACAGCACATGACCAACGCTTGAGCCTAACTGGTCATTAACCCACTGGACGCCCGAGAATCATGAATCTTATGTAATCTATTTATTTTAGAGAAGCTACAGACCTCATTTACTTAAGTGTAAAGATATATTCTTAACTGTTACAGATGGTAAAAACACACACGGGCATAACTCAAAGTCATATGTCCTAGCTTGTAATGTAATTTGCCAAGGCTGAAAGTCGTTAAAGGAAAGGTAATTGTGTGTGTAATAACATGTTGAGGAAAAAGGTATTAAGCAGTCATCTATTCATAGATTGGAGCCCTGATCGCAGAGAGGACTCAGCATATATGTCATTAAAGACGTACTGGTGCTTCTCATGCCAGCCTTCTCATTATTGGATGTCTCACTGATTACCATTGATTAATTAATGTAAAGCTTACATTTGCTGGCAGCTCAGGGGCTCAGTGGTTAGCTCTGTCGTGTCACTGCTGGAATCCACCAGCCACATGGGGCCACCTCTGTGTGGGGGTGGAGGGGTTTCCCTCCACATTCCCAACACATGCAGAACTGGTGCTTTTAAGTCTTTGATTAGTTAAAACAAATAATCAATCAATACCCTGTTTTTATAACGATATGAGTTGTGTGTATATATGAGTCCTGTGACCTCTCGTTGATGTACGGCGCCTCTTGTGGTGCCTCTTGCCCAATGCATGCTGGGACAGCTTCCAGTGTGATTTAGCTCTGAACAGAAAACGCAGTTTAGAGAATGAACTGATGGAAGGAGGTTCATATTTGGTAATAAGGTGGAAACAATAAAAGTGTTTTATTATTTCCACCTGCCCATGTTCAAACTTAGTTAATCATGTCTTACCTTAATAAATCTTAATAAATCTGCATGTAACTGTTTGTCAGTGTAGCCTCTGTGCTGGTGAAGGTGAACGGTTTTAGAAATATAATCTTCATGTCCGACCTTTGTGACTGTAATTGCTGACTGGCTGCATAATGCTGACAGCGGGTTTGGGAAGTGTTTCAGTACAAATCTTATATTGTAAAGTGTCTGTGATGAGACCCTCCCCTCAGAGCTAAGTGCATATACTAGGGTCTAATACATGTAGTTAATGTGTTGCACTGGTTGTTGTTCAGTGTGCACAGTTAAGGTACTCTCAGTGTTTATAATGGAAGAGTCTTCCACTTTATTTCCATCTAACCTTTCCTTGGCAACGGGAGGCAGGAAACATTTGAGTGCACACTAACTTTGAAGGTGAAAGTATTTTAGGCAATCCAGTCTACCGTGACCCTGTGCCATGCACCTGTCTACACACACACACACACACGCACGCACGCACGCACACAAACACACACACACAAACACGCACACGCTAGAAAGAGCACAGAAAAGCTCTTACCCGACACATCAGATCAACCATATTTTTCATCATGATAACAGTCAGTTTGTAAATAACCAAACAGTGGCGTAGTCGAAAAAAATCACTGCTGATCTTGGTAGAGGTGTGAAGCATCTGCAGGCTGGTCAGCTCTTTCATCTGAGATTGACAGGTGCAGCAGCAGAGACCGGCTCACATATTTCCCCTCAGCGCATGGCACGGAGGATTTCACATAATATGCACGGTCTTGCAGGCACGGCTCCGACCACACGGTGTGTTTGAATTGCTGCACAGAAGAAACTGGTCTGTTTTTTTTTTGAGTAGAATAGAAAATAAAACACAATCACCACTTTCACGCCTCATTATTTTAAGCTCCTTTTTTGCTCATATGAATGTACTGTGGGTCCTGTTAGTGGCTGTTTTGAAAATAGCATGTGATATGTTGTTTTTCATTTTGCTCTGCGATTATCCTAAACACTTTATTTCCACTTTGACCCTAATGATGATGTGCTCTAACCTGGCATGTGTGTCTGTGTGTGTGTTCTCCAGCAGGACGTTCTGTCTGCTCCGCTCAGCCGCCAGACTGTCAGGAGAGCACATGGCCTACGGTCAGCACCCCACTCCACACTCTTCACCCAGCCTCCCACTGCCCTGTCTCCACAGGTTAGTGTGTCTGCGTGTGTGCATATCTGCGAGCAATTGAAAATAATGGATTCTTGTTTCAAATGTATCATTCTGTACAATATTGATTTCTGTGCCAAACAGCCTCAAACTAAATCCATATTTATTAGCTTAGACAGCACATGAATCCAGAGCTTCTTAATATATAGACAGCGACGGGCATCGGGTCCTTCATCACCCAAATGCAGTCTTAAAAGTCATGTGGAAAGGTCAATCAGAAAATTGTTATGTCATTATAAAGCCTAAATTTTAAATTGTATTAGATATCAGATCGATACCAGCCAACTAACTATTGGTAGTGTAACCTGCATAATTGTAGTTTAGTAGTTTAGGAAGCTGCTAACTAGCATTAGAGTGTCAGAAGCAACTATTAGTTTATTCTCTTGTGTTCTTTTTAAAAGCTGAAAGAATAAAACTGCTAAACCTCACATTCAATTTTAAATATCTCCAGCCTCAGTTGAGATGTATTTGTCCACTGATATCCTCTCATAAAAACTGCTGTCATCCAATTCTCAATAATCCCTCACCACTTCCTGTTTCGAACCAGAGTAATCTGTTGTTGTCTCTATTATTTCCAGTTTACCGGTGATTAACATGCAAGAGAATCCTTTGAAGGTTGGTGAGGTCGCTGGACGGCAGCCGTTTGATGAAGCCATTCCTGGGCTAAATCTATTTAAATGTATTCAAACAGCCTCACTGTTCAAAAGCAACCTCTCCACTGGGGGTGTCGCTGCCTTGATTCGCTGTTGTTTACATGAACCGGTGTGTGTGCGCTGCCATATGAAGCCAGTTCTCCCACCGTACCATAATGCGGCCTGCGACAAATATGGATTTGGAATATTGCAAAACATGTTGCTTCTTTGGATTTGGTGTGAAAGAAAATGTATTAAAAGCAACGCCCACCAAAGTTTCACTACTACACTCTTGTGTGTGTGGGAAATAGAAACCTAATAGCTTTGTGAGCACGCCAAAATCATTTATAGAGGGAGTTAACATCAGCACAGTTGAGTGAGAGTCATATAAGCCATCATAATATACTTAATCGACTGGCAGATGTTGGATTCACTTGCTACACTGTCTGGTTTCGACGCCTTGAGCCGGAAATTTGTTGTCTGACTAAATAAAAGATGACTCAGGGTTACTGTGCATTGCTGGGCCCAGTTGGGTGACATCAATTCCATATGCATTTCTTCCTAAGTTATTAATTTGATTGACTGTGGCCATCTGTTTCTGGATCCTGCCAGATTTGTCTCATTGTCTGCTTCTGCAGTGTTGTACAGATTCTTGAAGGTCATGTCTGTTGTATTCCACAATTTGAGTATTAATGAAGTTTGAAGGTTTGTGTTAACGTAACAGAAGAACATTGTAATATTGACAAATCCATTGTCGGCACACCTGGATTCTATAGACACATTCTTATTCCAAAAGATCGACATCTAAAATGCTAATTCTCAGAGATTCTGGTTTCTATGTATCCGTATGTCGTAACGATGATTTCACAGCTTACCTTGTACATGCCCACTGTTGCTTTGTTTAATGAGCATGCACCAGAAACAACAACAGCAATGGCTGCTATATACTGGTTTCTTTATCTGTATGTTTGCATATACACAAGTTTACCAGTTTTCACACGGGTCTGCGTTTCCTAATATTACTTGGATATGAGTTCACCTGGCATGCTCACAATTTTCTCATCTGGTATTTGCTGTATTTTTGATATCGATGTTGACTTTATCACCACCTACTGGCCTGGCATGATCGTTTGAGGGTCTGTAGTTGTCCTTGTGTTGGAGAAGATGGAGACATTTTGTTAAACGAATGTTGTGTGGATGGAGATTTGCAGTTGACAGGGTGAAGATGCTTTTGATGAAACCATAATCTTCATCAATCTTCATTGAAATTTGCTTTGTCAATGCTAAGGTGTCGCTATTAAACCCTTATGACAAAATTATGTAATTTAGGCTTGACATTTTACATATCTTAAACTTTATTAGAAACAAATAAAAATAATTAAGAAAATGCACATATTTTCTTTGCTAAAAATGACAACATAAATACTGATTTTGCAGTTACAGCATTTAGATCATTATTCAAGTGGGTATCCATAAGAACAATTGACAGGCTGCATGTGAAAAGATACACAAGAACATCAAAGTCTTTTCACATATGTGTGAGTTTAGTCTCTTCCAACATGGGGGCTCTTGAGGATCAGTGCAAGACAGTCACAATGTTCTCAGCACAAGGTGTCATATCAGTGTCCTTCCAGTGGAACATAACGACCAGTCATAAGATCTGGCACAACTACTCCTCGGCACTGCCACTTCGTCCTTCATCTCCACTCCAACTTGGTTCTACGTCAGACCTCAACTCTTTTCACTTGGTATTCCTGTGAGTAAGGTCCAGCTCGAATCCAATAAAGCAGACGCATTATGTTAAAAAGATCAGCTCAAGGTTAAGTGTGTATATTTTTCACCCGGAAATGCGCTTAGCCCACCAACAAGCTTGCTGGGGATGAAAATTTCATGACGAGAACAGGATATTTGTTCCTTGAGTGCTTGCAATCCTCCTGCTGTGCATTAGCTCGTCTTCTCTTCTTTCTATACGTGTGTGTACTGTGTGGTTACGTGCATGGGAGAAAGTGTGTGTTTGGTGCACTATGATTGTGTTTGTGCTTGTGCATTTATTTGTCACTGGGCTGCATGAAATGGAGAAGGCCAGGCGTACGTTTGCACAGGGTGGGGGTTGTGGTTGTACAGAGAAAAATGAGCAGAGGCTTCCCTCGGACTGTGTTTACATTTTACTGCAGCGGCCCGCTCTGAGAGGCAATGGAGAGAGGGTATACAATAAAACACAGGCCATGGGTTGTCCTAGCAAGAACATGTTTACATGGGGGTGAAACAACTGAGCTGAGAGCCAGTCAATAGTCACGAGTGTCCCAGTCCCTGCCAAAGAGCGTCCGGAGGGAGAGCTGTTTGTTTAGAGGCCAAGGGAGGGAGGAGACACAGGAGGCTCCGCAGGGAGTGTTTGCTCTGCCAGGGCATGTTGTCCTTGCCCAGGTAGGCCGAGGATGATACTGTCATAACTACAGCACGACGAGCACTGACGCTGAAAAGATATTCTGGAAGATTTCACACCAGGTTGCAGTCATTTGTCGGCTCTAAACATGCCTCGCTGCGATATGTGACACTCGCTTCTTTTTCATTCAACACTTTTTTTTCTTTTTTCATCTCATTGACATCTCTCTCCCTCACTTCTGCATTGCTGCAGTACAGGCACTTGTCTCCTACTTAGCTAAGCAAGCACTACCTCCCTTTCTCCCCTCCTCCCCCTGTTGTTCCTTGGCATCCATCAGTTTAGCTGCAGCTTCCCACGAGGCCTGATGGGTCACGGCTACACACACACAAGCAAACACACACCAGCAAACACACACCAGCACCCTTCTCAGCAGCACTGTTCATGCATGGACCTCTCGACCCATCTGCCCCTCAGCTTCTACAGATGGGAGCCGTGGCGATGCAGAGAAGTTGTCAAATGTCACGCTGACGGATGAAGAGAGAAATCTAAATGGGGGAAACAAGATGCTGGCTCCTCATTGGAAATTCATGCAGTCCATGCTGCTTCATGTGTAATACTGTGCGAGATTAAACTGCGAGTACACTGGTGGATGGACTGAAGATAACAGTGATGGAACTTGGTAAAGATTTATTATCAGAGAAGGGGCAGATGTTGAAGTCTGAGGCAAGTCTCACTCGACAGGCTCTTTGAACCTGTTCCCTGACTCATGTCTTCAGGAAGCCTGTCTACGTCAAGATGATCCACCCTGACATGTAATGTTTCTCTTAAACAGCAGACACAGATAAGTAAAGAAAGAACAATGTTTGGTTTCCACTGTTTATTGCTCCCCTCTCCATCTCTGTTGAGTGATTTTTGTCAGTAATCTATCCGCTCCCGGGCGATCACACATTGTTTAATCTTTGGCAGGTGGATGTAGTTCAAGAGCAGAGTCTTTGTGTAGACGGCTCAGTGTACAGGAGGTGAGGTGAGGAGTTCGGAAAATGGCCAGTTTCTGGAAGGAATGGCTGCTGTTTTCTCCATGACCCAGATGTGTGTATGAAGACGGCCGTGGGAACTCTTTTATTTAAATGACACATTGAACTGCCCAAGCAGAAGTAGCAAACACCCTTTCCCCCTGAAACAGTTTTGTTGTGAAGCAAACGTTCTCTGCAGAGAGCACCTCTCTCTCTCTCTCTCTCTCTCTCTCTCTTTCCATCGCTGCTTCTCCTTTTATGGCGTCAAGTCAGCAATTGTTTGTGCCCTGTCGTCCATTTACACCGGTTGACTGTAAACTGAGTGGGAGAGAACCTGTCTTGTTTGTAATGTGGCCATGAAGTTCAGAGAAGCTCTTAACAGAAAACATAAAGGGTTAAGTCAAGCTAAAAAACACTCAGTGTTTTATAAATCCACTATAAAATCCACTCTGAGCTATTTAGCACCTATTCTTCTTTTAATAGTGCTACGTAACATCCTGTCTTTTCACTGTTTTCATTCGCTGAAATGAGGTTTTCAAGTTTCAAAAGAGGTTTCCAAACTGAGGCGCACCTCCCTAGGGGGGCACAGGAGAGCAAGAAGAGGAGGCAAAAATACTATGACATCAATTGCCACAATTTGAGTCAAATGTCGCACTTCTTCTCTGAGTCAGAACTCCACAATTGGAGCAAACAGGCATAATATATTATTTTTAGATTCAGCGTGTCTTACACTTGTTGAAAACATCATTATCCACAATGTCAATTGCGAATAAACATATATAAATCAGCTGGGAAACTGTAGAAAGTCTCTTTTTATAACCCCAGAACTTGTCCAAGAATAATCACATTTGTAAGTTTTCTTTTGTTTAAAACTAATCCAGTAGTTGTTTTGATTTATATCCATTATAACCAGTGCTTAAACATGTAACAATAGAATAGTCAGTTCATATAAAT